AACGGCTCCAAGTTGGAATGCTGCCGTCTGCTCCTGGGACATAAGACGCCGTATCTCTATCAGTGCGCAGCGCAAGCAAGCTTCGGTCCACATTTTTTACTCCCGGCCGTTCTCGTCTGCACCTTTTTATTTTCTTGCAGTTGCGCCTGCGCTTGTGCGCTTCACATGTAAACTAAGATGCCTTTACCGTGTATAATAGTACCTGCCTGGTCAAGTCTGTCGTAGGGTTTGACCACCTCCCGTCTTTTCACTTTCTCTTTCAGAGTCAAGAGTCTCCCAACACAGATATCAACAAGGCTATTAATTACACAACTTCTTTTACACTTCTTGCCTTCAGTCCTCACACTTCTGATCCTGCAAGTTGCACGGCACCAAGCCGCGGGGCAACACTTGGCCCTCGTAAGAGTGTAGCAATTCTGCGAAGCAATGGCCGTAACCAAACAGAGAAGACAACGCAATCCGGACGAATTCCCCACTGTTCAGCTCTTCATTCTAGGTAAGAGTTCCATCCCCCGGATCAGAAAATGGGGACTAACATGTGCTGGCAGCCATCGTTCGTCTCGCCGAACCGATCGCGCTCACCTCCATCTTCCCTTATGCCTGGGCCTTCATTAAGAGGTTAAAAATCGGTGACGAAGAAGATGCCTCGTTTTACGCCGGCCTGCTTATCTCGTCTTTCTCCCTTGCGGAGGCCCTAATGGGCATGTACTGGGGTGGGCTATCAGACAGAGTGGGCAGAAAGCCCGTCCTGCTCCTTGGATGCGTGGGCACCATGTTCAGTATGGTCACCGTGGGCTTTGCATCCAACATATGGATCGCATTGCTTGGAAGAGTAGCCGGTGGTCTACTCAACGGCAATATTGCTGTTATCCAGACTATGGTGGGGGAGTTGGTGACGAAACCAGAACATGAGCGTAAGTCGTTCCCGTCTCTCCAGTCGCAGCACCAATTGCTAACTGTCAACCAACAGCCAAGGCTTACTCTATCAGTATGTGACAACGAATCATCCTACGAACCGAATAACCAGTGCTAACATTCGAAACAGTGCCTTTTGTTTGGTCTATTGGAACCATCATTGGCCCGGCGATAGGGGGGACGTTCGCTGACCCCCACGATACCTTCCCCCACCTATTCCCCACGGGCTCCCTGTTCGAGAGGTTTCCTTACCTCCTGCCCAACCTGATCTGCGCCGGGATGCTTCTGGTGAGCATCCTTCTCGGGTATTTCCTCCTTGAGGAGACGCATCCGGATATGCAGCCCCGCGTCGCCCTGCCCGACGACACGTTCCTGTCAGAAAACACACCCCTGATCGAGACGTCGGATGCGATGAAGCGACCCGCTGTCGACCTCCGTGATGAAAACTACGGCACGATGCGGAGCCGCGGCAAGGCGGCCAAGAGCCTCGAGAAACACGTCACCTACAGTGTGTTCAGCAAGAAGATTATGGCTGTCGTCCTGGCTCTCTCCATTTTCACCTACCACTCCATGACATACGACCATCTCCTGCCCATCTTCTTTGAGGATGACCGCGTACCCAGCCCTTCCTCGCTCGACCGGATCGGCCCCCTGAGTCCGCTCTATTCTCCCGGCGGGTTGGGATTTTCGCTCCAGGCTGTCGGCATGATTATGGCCGTGCAAGGCGTCATCGCCCTCTTTATGCAAGCTGTGGTGTTCCCGATCATGGCCGAGCGCATTGGTGTCTACAGACTCTTCATTTTTGTCACCGTCCTCCAGCCGATTGCCTACATGATTGTCCCGTCTCTACTTTACGTCCCTGAAGGGCTTCTGTACCCGGCCATCTACTTCTGCCTCACCGTGCGCAATTTCTTCTCGATATTGGTCTACCCGCTGCTCCTTATTCTTATCAAGGAGGCAACGCCGAGTCTCTCGATTCTAGGCAAGGTCAATGGCCTCGCGGCCAGTGCAGGCGCGGCCTGCCGCATGGTTGCCCCGCCCATTGCTGGCTATCTGTATGCGATGGGCAAGAGGGCGGACTGTACCGGTATTGCGTGGTACGGAAGCGCTTTTGTGGCAGTTCTCGGCGCAGTACAGTGTTTCTCTGTGAAGCGGGATCGAGTGAGGGAGACTGGGGGCGAGGAGGGCCTCAGGAAGCAGCCTGCTGATGAGATTACTATCTTTGTCGACGAAGTTGAAGAGAACACTGCGGCGTAGGAGGAACAAGTCGACAATTCGGTTTTAGGAGAGGCCATCACCCGGAACCCGATGAGATTTTGACGGTGGACATAACGATGAACAACAAGAAATACTCGTACGAAATAATGAAATCTGGAATGAAATATAGAGCGAGTATTGGCGTCAGGGATTCTTTTTGGTCTGGCCGGCGTTATCAGGCGAGCGTGTTCCTGAGACTTGACTTTTTTATCAGTTTCACAGCGGGTGGTTTTGGATGTTTTTATTTTCTCACTTTGTCTTAACTCATGGTTTCGTGTGGTTCATGATGCCAGTTGGTTGGCTTGTGACATAGGGAAGGGGTGTACATGCATTCTATATGGTTAGATGGATGGGATTACGTACCTAGATAACTTAGACTATGAGGTATGAATTCACGAGGGCCAACCTCGTCCTTATAAGTAATCATATATCCGTGTGTTGCGAGTACCTCGACGTCGTCCTTGTTTGTGTGCCCCTATTCCGACATGTACCGACCGTCTCAGGCTGTGTACAAGATGTTTGGGGGTTAGGTGTGGGGAGAGAAAGCTCCGGTCTTCTCCACAAAAGCCCACACAATTCAGTGGACTCGCCACACCCACTCACCAACCGCCAACAGCGAAAGAAGCCAAAAGAATCACACCGATTGAGATCACGACCAGCAGGGGAAACTTTGAATTGTGGTCGACAAGTGACTCGACTCGAACTCTGTACCCCCAAAATTAAGCTTTCTAGAACACGATCCGGCCAGTCAGTCAGTCCAGTGGCGGGTTCACCCCATTTTTTTCTACTATCCGAATTTTTGTGTGGGGTAGCCGTATTTTCAGATTTCTCCAGCTTCAACAACCGGCGGCCGGTAATTGAGCGAGAGAGAGAGAGAGAGGGAAAAGTTGTCACCGCTTGCTTTCAAGATACCTATATATAAAATGGATAAGGAGGTCGCAACCGCCACGGCGGCGCTCAACCTCGCCGGCACCGATGACGACAACAAGACTCAAAATGGCAACAATCCAGCAGCAGAACCGGTGGCTCCTATCCCGGCTCCAGCCCTCCCGCCCGCCCACACCCTCGCCAGCAAAATGACAGTAGAGGAAACCCTCGCGGAATTAAACAAGTCTCCCTTGTTCATGACAGAGCTGGACATGGACAACGAGGACGTTAAGGCCTTACAAGCTCTTGCGTACGAGGGCACTCGGCTCGAGAATGGGCAAAACTTCAAGGAGCAGGGGAATGAGTGTTTTCGGGAAAAGCGCTGGAGTGACGCAAAGGAGTTTTATGGTAAAGGGGTCGCGATTTTAGCTACCCAGGAAACAAAACGGCGTCGTCGCCGGACGACAGCAGTCTTCTCTTCTTCAAAGGATGATGGAAAAGAGGAGGAGGAGAAAGAAGATCCGGAAGAAGTTGCCAAGGAACGGGCACTGCTGGAGCAGCTGTACGTCAACAGGGCAGCATGCCACCTCGAGCTGCGCAATTTCCGGTCATGCACGCTCGATTGCGCGTTCGCGTTGCGACTGAATCCACGTAATGTCAAGGCGCTGTATCGGTCTTCCAAGGCTTTGCTGGCTGTCGACAGGATTGCTGAGGCGGATGATGCTTGCTCGAGAGGATTGGATATTGATGAGAAGAATGCCGCGCTACGCCAGTTGGCGGGGGAGATTGTTAAGAGGCATGAGGAAGTTGAGCAGAAGAAACGGGCTGATGGGGAGAGGGAATGCAAGCAAAATTATGAGAAGAGGCTGTTAAGCGCTGCGCTCAAGGCGCGGAATATCACTACCAGAGAGACGGGCAAGCCGCCTGATATGGAAGATGCGAAAATCAGTCTCGTGCCGGATCCGAGTGATCCCAAGAGTACGCTCGCGTTTCCGACGCTGTTGCTTTATCCGCTTCACTATGAGAGCGATTTTATCAAGGCTTTTAATGAGACGGAGAGCCTGGAGCAGCATTTTGGGTACGTTTTTCCGCTGCCTTGGGACAGGGAGGGCGGTTACTCTAGTGCTGGGGTGGAGTGTTTTATTGAGACCACCGCGGGGGGGTTGATGAAAGTTGGTAAGAAGGTGCCTCTTCTCAGAGTGTTGGGGAGCGGGAAGGTTGAGGTTGTGGATGAGTTGGTCAAGATCTTTGTTGTGCCCAAGGCAAAGACGGATGCTTGGGTCAAGGATTGGAAGGAGAAGAAGGCTTCTGTTGGGAAGTGAGGGGCAAGATGTCTGGGTTGGAGAGAGGAGGGGAATGGTAGGCGTTTGAGGATATGAGGAAGACGACGTTGTCAAGGATAGTTAGTACTAGATGGGTTTGCTCGGATCAAGGTCTAGAGGGAGGTAGGGGAGGGGGGGATGAGACGACGAAGAAAAGGAGACACACGAGGTGATGATACCCATAGCCATTATAGAGAAAGAGGAAAAAAGCAGGAGAGAAAATGAAATGTGCTGAGGCTATGCCCGTGGATGGGAGAGCAGCAGCAGCACATATAACATTGCTCCTGCCTACCTACACTGCCTTCATAGTTTAAAGACGCTGACGTTGAGTTATCAGTCTCCTCCCGAGATGGACTCTCTTTTGCTCAAGCATCTCTGGTTTCTTGTTTCCTTTTATCCTTGATTTAAATAACACATATCTCTTCCTCCTAAATAACTCGAAGAACTAGAACACAATACAGCCGATTTGTTTTGTTGGTAAAAAATTACGAAAATCTAAAAAGGAGGGAAACAGGGGGAGGAAAGGAAAGGAAAGGAAGAAGGTCTCTACAACACATGCTCAGAAAAGGTACCTAGGTGAGGTATATCGCAGATACTCAACCCTCTTTAATCCAGAAAATCTACATCAAATAATCAAAAGGGCGTGTGGCTCAGTTGGTAGAGCGTTCGCTTAGCATGGATTGCGCCGAGTCATTTATGACAAGGTTTCAGCAGATGAAGTACTTGCCAACTTCTGGTTGCTTGAATGCGAAAGGTCCTGAGTTCGATTCTTAGCTCGTCCAAAAATAAATATCTTGGCCATTCTTTCTGAGACATGGTTGTTGGTTGTTAATCTTTTCTTTCATTTTTGAGCTCCTCTTTTTTCTTTCCCCTCTCACCCTCTTCCCCCCCTTTTTTTTAAATTACACACACACCAAATAATACCTGGATACCTACATACTGTAATTTATCATGCGTTTCCCCTTGTTAGCATGAAAGTAGTTGGTACATAGAAGGCAAGTAATGTAAGTGAGTGAATGAGCCAACCTCCTCCTCTCAGCAGAATCTCCCTCCCAAAAAGAAAAACACACCGAACGCTGAAAAGGAGTCAACTCAACTCGCAGACATACCTGCTCTGTAGCTGTCATTCGTGTAAGATACCTACTTATCTAAGTTAATATGCAATAGGACAAGAAATTCATTGATATGCTAACAAGGTGATCAGGGCTGGCATGTCGATTACAAAATATGAAAATGACAAATAAAATGAAATGCAGCCACGAACTCCAGATGCCCACTCAGACAAAAGAAACCAGCCATATCCATAGATGGAAATAATTTCCATGGATTTTCTCACAAAATTTGTCTGTGTTTTTATGCGCATGCTCCCGTCATGATTATTTTCTTTTGTAGCCATTTAATATTCCCTCCAAAAAAGCAAATTTCCAACTCCTCCTTTTTGTCTAATCCATCCAGCCTGTATACATGCAATTAATTCAACCAATGTCATCATAATCGTCGTCATCATAGCCCACCCGGGCCGCCCTTAAGATGCAAACTTGTTGTGGGTGCGTCGTGAGTAGATGGTGGCACGCTTTTGTGGTGGTTGCCTGACTTCCCTCCCACCCGAAAGATCAAGAAGAAGTAGAGACCAAGCTAGCAGCAGATAACGGAAACTGCTAAAAAGGAAAACAAGTACTAGAAAAGGAAAAGAGCCAGATACCGCCCCAGCGCCGAGATAAATGAGATAGATACGCGCATATGAGAACGGAACGGAAAGACCAGGGAAATGGAAAAATAATTGTAACTCCGTCTTTGCGGAAATCGCCGGCATCCAGTTCCTCAGATGATTCAGAAAGACTTTGCCTTTCTCCGTTTTCTTCTATGCCTGGCACTACAACCACCGGCTTCTTGCTCCTCGTCCGCCGGTGATTCGCACGGACTTGGAGCCTGTGTTGACGGCCGCGCTTGAGCTGCTGAAGCAGCAAAGCTAAGGACAGAAGTTGAAGCATGAGGATCGCGAGCAAGAATCGCAGTCCATGTCTCACTGTCCTCCCGATGACCTGTGATTTCTCCAGAGTTGTCGCCATGATTGTGTTCGGTTACTTGTTTTTGGTCATCGAGGAGTTGATCTTGTTGTTGAGCACGATTAATCTCGCGTTGTTTTTCCAACTCCCCAAGACGCAAAAGCGTGAGAGCGGCAACCTCCTCCATGTGGCCAAAACAGGTGCGGCTGTCTTTTCTGATGTTGGTAGTGCTGTTCTCATTGTTGTCCTTGGTGCTGTCAGAGTTTGTGATGGAAGAACGGCTGCTTTCCACCCGTCCAACATCGGTGGACTTGATGATTTCTTCCTTAATTTCGCTGATATGAATATGAGGACCTCCAGGCAACGGGACGATCCGAAGTTTTTGGACCCCATCTGGAGACCGGGCGCTGGCCAACGTCGGCTTTGACTCCGCCGCGGGGCCGTGGAGATTCTCGGCTGCGTTGGTTCCACGATTTACGTCCGTAGGATAAGTCCCTTGAGCCTTCCCAGTGCACCGTGGAGGCCTCGACAGCTGGGTCTCTGGCCATGGTGCCCTCTGAGGGACTGGTCTCGGACTAGGCGGTTCTGAGAATCCGGTCTCGTCCTGACTTTCGCCCGCGTCGTATTCACAGTCATCCAAGGTGCGCTTGTCACCGGGAGAGAGAGCATGGGAGGTAGGCCCTGATGCCCTGTAAGTGTTTGAAGCATGTGCCCGAGCCCCAGCATGGACTGGTAACTGTTGCTCTTGACCGGCCCGGGACACATCTCTGGATGGTAATGGATGGTGATAATGCTTTGGTTGCGTGGCGTGTAAGTCGACGTCGGATAGGCCGGGAATAGCGGAGAGCCACCGATCAGGCACAGGACTGCGGGGAGGACTCTTGGGAAAACTGCGTGGAGAGTCAAAGCGTGGGACATGCGGTTCCTGGACGTTGCGGGAGATGGGCGATGGTAGGATATTCACCGCCGTCCAGCCATGGGGAGAGGCCCGGACAGGCTTGTTGTCATAGTCTTTTCTCGGTCTTGCTGCTATATGTGGACGATTCGTTCTGTCTGCGTGGAATGGAGGCAGGCGAGGAAACGCATTCCACATTGTACCCTCGACATCGGTATCAGTTGTAGTCCCATACGGGCTGTCCATGATTCCACCCCTAAAGCGTAAGCCTCCACGATGGTCAGTTTGGGAATATGCTTGTGGCCCGTCTATTCGCAGTCGAACGCCCGGTGTTCGCGGGCTGATACTGCTGGAGTACCGAGGACTAGTAGGGCTGGGTAGATTGCAGTACAGAAGGCGGAAATTCTCCGCCTCCCGCCTGGAGCGGGCAATAATGGCTGGGTCTATGACCATGTGACCATGTCTTGGAGTGTTGGGCGGAATGCATTGAGCGGGAAAGTCTGGGCCAAATAGCGGTATCAGAGCGCCGGAGATATGATAGCAGAATGTCGCGCAGACGGCCTTGGCGCAGTCGAAAGGCATCCAGTAGCCTGTAGACCATCGAAGTTAGCAATGACTTTGTACGGAAGGAGTTTTATGGGAAGGTACCTTGTGCCCGTATGGCGCCGCCGGTGATGCTATGGGAAATATCGCGGAGACCTGGGTTTTGGTTGAGCATCTTCGCCGAAATGGTCTGCCAGAAGTCAGACCCTAGATTTAAAAGGTGAAGGCAGTCGTCGATCAAACCTTGGAGTAGCTGCAGCATTTGAAGAACGGTGTTGTGCGGACCAAGCCAATCTTGACATCCCACATGACTGTCCACAGGCTCTCGCACCCGGGAATCTTGAAGTCGTATTGGAATACTGTAGTGAAGAAACGTTGGTTAGGTTCACTGTGTCCAAGTTTTCCTCGGGGTTGCTTCGTCAAGTTCTTACCTTCAAAACATTGCCGACCCGTCTTCTCGAAGAAATCTCGCTTGCCAGTGTTATATGGTATACGACGGAAAGAGTCTCGGATTCTGCCAAATGTCTGGATCTGGAATCGGCTGACCTCGCGGAGGGAATCCTCGTCCAAGTCCTCAAAAGGGTAGAAATCGACGATGTCGACTGTCCCTGAATGAAGAGAATCGCCCGACTCCCTGTTGGCCGGTGGTTGCCTACCGGACAAATGCCTTGGAAGGGACTCATTTGTATATGAGGCCATCGAAAGCGACCTGGGATCATGGTCTGTCTCAAACCGTGGTGATGTATCTGGCGGAGGAGTTGGGTTAAGAAGGGAAGTCAGCGGTAGCATGCTGGCCATTATGCCAAAAGCTCGGCAAGCGTATCGAGGGAAGCCGGAGGGATCTCTGAGGGTGCTCTTCTATCTGGGAGAGGACAAAAGACGGTGAAGTAGACTAGCAGTCTGGATTATAAACTCGGATGATGCTAGCAATCGGGGCAATCCTGGTGGGTTTTCCTTCACTCCTCCTAACTTGCAAACAGCAAATCCCAGGTAGATGCTATGCAAGCCTCGTAAGGTGCAGCGGCGGCGGGCCCGTTGAGCAGACGTCGTCCACGTAATAGTGTCGAGGAGAAAGCCGCCTTTTTACTTGATGCTGGACAAAATGCCGCTAGCCTGCAGCGACGACGAACAGAATTTGGGTATTTTCGATCCGGCGGTCAACGTCCTGTTGACATTCCTTTGTCAACGAGGGTTAGGAATCAATTTTTGGAAGCAGTGGAGGGCGTTTGAGTCTTCCACCGCTATTTGGAGCTCGAGTTGGAAGCCACAAAATGATTAATGACAAGCAAGAGCAGATTAGAACAGCCCAACTGATGATCAAAGCAGTGTGGGCCAACAAGGAAGGTAAGAAGGATGAAGCCCAATATTTGGAGGGATGGCCGAGGGGATATTCTCCTTGCAAAACTGACTTCGAAATCAGGAGGCACGGAGTGTAAACAACCTAGCAGCACACTTCCTCAACAATGTATTGGTCCTCTCCCCTTAATGACGGCGCCGGTGGGAGGGGTTCAAACCGACTGTCTTTTCAGGCCTCTGTGCGTCGAGACAAAATATAGTCGAGAAGGGGTGTGGTCTCAGGGGATTCAGTCTAGCCGGGCGTTGTGATCACAGGTTGTCTCGTCTGATGACGCAGCATCATCATAGGCCAAAGGCACCGAATGGGTTCAACACCGCAGGGACCAGAGTCGGTAACTACGAGCAGGTAATTGATTTGTTTGAACCAGATTTTGACAGAAACAGAGTCACGGCTAGCTGCAGAAGGTGCCACTTGGTCAACAAGCTTGGGTGGCTTCACTGAGAAGGTGGAACAAAGAAATGGACGTCGCCTAGGCGTAGATATCCCGGTACGAAATGAAGGTCTGACTCGGCACACGTGGTCCCTTCACCGTATTCTGGCTCTCAGTCCAGGATGCGGAGGGCACAGGAATAGAGCGCGGTCCGGTACTGAATCACTGGAGAGAGCATCGAACTTGTCCGCGTCGTCTTACTGAAGACTAGCCTGCTGGTGGGGTCACTATCCCCTAGTGGCCTTGACGACTGGAGAGAAGTTGGGAGCTCGATCCGCGTGTGAATACTGACTCTGTACGTAACTGCCTCCCCTAACCACGCACATATGGGTTCTTGAAGAAGTTTTGGCGTTTTCGAGAAGCATATTAGACATTCTCTGCCGCGCTGGCCGTCGCTTGCGCGGAGATGAGTGTCTACTACCGCAAAACAAAGCCCCCTCCCTCCCTCCCCCCCCAACGAGCAAATGCTTGTACAAGCACAGGAAAATGCCCCGATGGATACACGTGTACTGGCCGGGTGTTGGGCTTTTCGGAGGGCTGATGTGTCTATC